TATATATATATATATATATATATATATATTTCTTAACAGTAGCCCTGTAAACTTTGTTTGCCTCCCTGGTGGTCAGGGGTTAAAGCTCAGCACTATCAAGCTATTGCCAGGCACTGCAGCACTAGTTAAATCCCCCACCAGGGAGTGAGCCACCCAGCTCAGCAGACCTCTCCTGTCTTACACTGCTCCCCCCTGCAGAGTATTTCAGTAGATCTGCCTGTTCTGCTCCCAGCTCTGTCTCTGGTGAGTCCCCTCACCACCCCTCACTCCATACCCCCACACCTCTAGTGTAAACTCCAGTTCCTGTATGCATAAGTAAATCTTTTAAAAAGTCAAAGTGAACTAAAGAGTAACTTCTGAAGGCAACTTTAGAGATTTATAGCACTGAGTTATTGTTCTCCATTACACATTAACTGCTAATGACTTTCTTATTGATGAAAATGTAACCTTAACCCCAAAACCCCAACCCATTTGCATCCCCATAATGGAGCAGAGGTAAGAGAGAAGTGAGTCTGTAAACTGAGAAGACTGAAAGAAAAAGGAACACTTCTGAAAGCCTATCCCAGGGAAGGAGCTCTTAGCAAGAGAGCTTTGTTGGGACACTTCTCCCATCACTGGCCCTCAGGTGGTGCTGTTAACCCAAGATTGCAGGGTTAGTTGTTTGGAATGGTAAATGTTTACCATCCTGCATTTGGTATCAAGTCAGCCTCTGCTCCTGAAATGGACATAAAGTGTTTTCATGATTTAAATGCCCGGGTTTGTTTTGTTTTCTGAAAAGAACTGTTTTGAAATGCACTTGGCATTCCTGTTTAGGTTTTTTTTTTTTTCTTATGACAATCTCCCATTATTCTATCAAGATAGGTTTATACCTGTTTTCTGTTTGGAGTTCTCCTTTTCATCCTCACTAAACTATCACCTAGGCTCAGTCAGCAAAGACTCCTATCACTACAAACATTTCATTAGCATTCTGCCAGTAGTAACCCCTATGTCTTATCTGAATGGATGAGATAGTTACTCTACTAGCAACAATCTTGATTTTACCATTTTGATACGTTAGCTGCAACTCCTGCATATTCTAATCATTATGCCTATTTCAACATTGCATGCCTCTAAAGAAAAAGTTACTGTTTTCAGCTAATAAAGACTTAGCTGGTCTTTACCTTGCATTAAAGCAAAATCTGTTAGATGGACAATTAGTAACATCACAATTGTAAGTACCTCCTATTCTGGAATAAAATGGATCTTTTGAGCTGTTGGGCTTATTTCTGTAAGACTACTATCTGTTTGTTTTTCCCTGATGGCCTAGTCTCTAGACAGAACTCTATCTAGCAACCTCCAGGCTAAATGACCTCATAACTCATTAGCAGTTCTCAGAGCCATCTGGAGCCCTTTGAGGAGCACAATGTTCAAAGGGCTGATAATAAAGACAACAGCATAATTATTTCTCTGCCATGATTAAACCTTTAGATGGTAAGCAGTCAGCACATTTATTTTGCAGATTGCTTAGGTGGGTGTTTTCTGAAGGTATAATGATAGTGCTGCGGTAGGAGAACTTGTTTCCCGTCCTCTTCATCTGGTCTACAAATAGGTGGACTATCAGTAAGAAACGCACCATCAAAGCATAGTCCATTGTGAAAAAGGAGAGGAGAGCGAGGGAGCAACGTCTGAACACCCAGTGGGAAATGTGTGACCATAAAGCATGGTAGCAACTGCAGAGACACCCTAGCGGGCAGGTCCTGCCAGCCCTGGGCTGATCGCGTGGCCCACTGTGTGCTCATTGTCTACAGTGTTAATTAGGTAGTCCCGGAATTTTTGCACTAACCTATTCGTCTCTCTTATTAGCTGCAGGGACTCTTGGTCCTGCTGTCGAGCCTCAGGAAATGGCTTCCCTCTCAGAATACGCCCTGCGCATGAGTCGTCTGAGTGCCCGGCTGTTCGGTGAAGTTGCCAGGCCCACTGACTCCAAATCCATGAAGGTGGTAAAACTATTTAGTGAGCAGCCTCTGGCCAAGAGGAAGGAGACCTACAACTGGTATCCAGATCACAACACTTACTTTGCCCTGATGGGGACGCTACGATTTTTTGGCCTCTACAGGTAAAAACGAAACAGAATAAATGAGATCTTTTTTTTTTTTCTCCAGTAGATCAGAAAAGGAAAAGATTAGCATTTCTATCCTTATTTTGTAGTCTCATGATAGCACCCGGATAGAAGGTACCGCTTGCGGGAGAGGGGAGGCTTTTTTCAAAACCTGTAATCGATACTAGGCACACAAAAAACAAAAAGGAAGCAACTCTTACGGCACATGTGTTACTTATGTGTAAATGTAACTGACACGGACCAGACACCCAGCTACCAGAGGACTGAGAGCGCTTTGGAAGGATGAGGGGAATCCCCCAGCTCCAAAAAGAAGCGCCCACAGCCATTGCGCAGCCTCGTCACTGCCCGGCAGAGGCCCAGCCCCCAGCCATTCTGCAGCCTTGCTCACTCGGAGCCTCCTGTCTTGCCATGTTGGCGTTTTCTATCTCCTCCTCCCTCTTTTGGTGTTCTTAGTTGATAGACTTCTTGATCAACTAATTTGGTTTAAACAAGCTGTGGCTCGTTAGGAGCAGGCTGCAGATTGCACAGATGCCTCCCACCGTGCATTTGCATGTTCACCCGTGTGGGAGGTGGGTGCCGGGTGCCGGAGACTTGACTTCTTAGAAAGAAAACTAAACCTATGAGGTCATTTTCTTTAAAAACAGGTTTTAGTTAACAAACTAATTCATGCTCACTATAAAAGAATTCAAACTTCACGAGAACACCTACTTTGTTTTTCAGTTTAACATTTTAATTGCTCATGTGTTTGTACAGTAATATAAAATTAATTTGGGACTGTCCATTCTAATATGATAAAAAAATTAATGGTCCGGTCTCGAAAGCTAAGAATGGTTCATTCATATATCTAAAAAATATATTTTAAGTACCTTTCATATTCTGGCACTTAAGATGGGTGCTAGGAAAAGAGAAATGAACAAAAGAGAATACTTTTTTTTAGTAGATAATTCAATATTGTAATCCATGACATAGTTTGTATTTCTGGAATTGCTTTGGGGACTCACTGCCTTGCCTCAGTCTGGATTCAGAAAATAAAAATTAATTTTATTATGACCCAAAATATAATATTGGAATGCAGATCTCTTGAGTAGAAAACTATAGCCCATAACAAAATCACATCCAGCTATTTTAATTTATCAGTTTGCTGCCTCTCTCCATTTGTTTGAAAAACAAAGCCTTGACTCTCTTTGGGGACAGGGAAAACCACTTAACATTTAGTTATCTGTGGAAAAGCACAATTATTTTTGTGTGTTTGTCTCTCGTTATGGTAAATGGCGCCTCTAACACAAGGCCTCCTGTGGCATTAGGCAGGGTGAACTAGACAATCTTCAATACAGAAAATATTACTCAAAGCTTTGCAAAGGGGGCGGGAAGCACAGGTTCTCAGAAACAGTGACTCACTCAGGCAGGCAGGTTCCCCGGGCGGCGGCATCATCTCAGAGACAAAGACGTCTGCCTTTGGAGCTTGCTTTCTGGCTGGTGGGTGATGAGTGGGGAGGGAGGGAAGAAGGGGCAAAAGCCTATTGAAGGAACAGAGTATGTGATACGTTACAGACTTGAATGTGCCATGAGGGGGGGAAGATAGTGGAGCAGGCCAAGCAGGATCAAGAGGGACAGTCACGGTGTTAGACAGGACAGGCAGGGCCAGCCTCACTGAGGTGAGGTTTAAGCTGAGACTTGTGAGTGAGCCAGGTAGGGTCTGAGGAAGAGCCTTCAGGGCAGAGTCAAGAGCACAGCAGAGGCCTCAGGGCAGGAGTAAGCCTGGCATGTTCCAGAACACTAGGATGGAGGCAGGCGGGGAAGGCTCTGAAGACCCCAGGAAGGACTGTGGCCTTGGCCTTGGATGAAATGGGAGCCACTTCCAGGGTTGTGAATAGAGAAGTGACATCATCTGACTTATGTTTTAGAAGAATTTGCTCTGTTGCAAAAAGATTATTTGGGAATAATCATAAGCAATCCTAAAGTGTTCTATTGTATCCGTGACAGTGATGAAATGAAACAGCATATCCTGTAAAACCAATGTATGTTAACACAGCTAGGGAGCTAAAAACTGGGTCCAGTAAACTCCTCTTGTATGTTTAATGCATGCACCATCTTTTTGCCACACTTTACAGGAAGAAGGGAGGCTAAGGTGCAGTAGGTCACACAGCTACTGAGTCTAGGTGCAAATGGATTCCAGACCTTACAGATTTAAGCAAGGAACTGTTTTTAGGCATTTTTAGGTAGTTAGTCTTAGACTACAGACATTGGTGTGCAGTCTGGGGGTCTTGTTTATGCATGTGTACAAACGATCCTGGCTGCCTTCTCCCTAGGCCACCTTCTGCCTGAGCCTTTCCCCAGCAGCCTTTTTGGTGAAGTATCCATTAAGGCAGCTTCCACTAGACCTCCTCCCCTAGCAGCAGTTGCTGATTTCTAGGGTTTGCAGGTCTTGAAGTTCCTCTCACTGGTTAGTCTAGTGTTACGGGGATAGTTGGGGTAATCAGTAGTGTTGGATCAATTGTTAGTGTTGGGTCGTGCAGGTTACCAGGCTGGCCTGCGAATTGACTTGAACTGGTGCCACTGGATCTGCGAGGGGAACCTGACTTAACAGAGAACTTTAGCAGCACAGCCCATCTGTGGGGGGACTCCTTATTGTTCACCACGTTGACCAGGTGCCTGTGGAAATCAAGGACTGACAGCCTGACCAAGCAATGGGCACAGCGCTGAGTATATTTGACTGCTGATTTCTTCTTTCAGAGATGAACACCAGGATTTTAAGGATGAGCAGTTACGTCTAAAGAAGCTTCGTGGAAAGGGGAAACCAAGGAAAGGAGAAGGGAAAAGAGCAGCGAAAAAGAAATAGTGTTTGTCCATTAGGAAAGGGAATCTCTTCCTCGGTGACGGAGCACAGATGCAAGACTGTTGCTTATCTTCCCACATATTGGAGGATGATTAGCCTCCCGACTTGAAGATGATGTGTGGCATATCACAGTTACCTCCATGCTGAAGTCTAATCCTGTTGAACTGTGACGGGTTTCTTGAACACATTCTAATTTAGCAGAATATTTTGGCCTTGGTTTTATAATCGGAGGCTTACTTCATTCTCTTAAGAAATGAGTGTGTAAATCATTCTTTAATGACTTGTTTTGGGAGGGGAAGGGATGTTGGGGGAACTTATTAAATGAACATCTTGTAGTCTCATTCCTTGTTGCTTCCCCAGCCAGCCAACCAGCCCTAAACTCTTTCATCACTGTGGCCTTTCAGCTACCCTCTCCACCACCAAGCTCATAAATGTTGTGTGTCTCCTCTGGGAAGATCTAGAAAAAAATTCATGTGTCTGGGGAGAGTATACTAAGTACCTGCTGTATACCAGGGGCTGGGCCCCTGCTGATATAGTGGCTAGCAAGAGCAACAGTCTTCCTCATAAACCTTTCAGTCTTGTGGGCGAGATTAATAGCATGTAATTATTATTGTAGTAAATGCTGCAATCCAGAGTTCTGTGAGTGTGAATCAATCTAGAGAGATAGCTGGAGGCCCAAAACTCATAGGTGAGTTTCAATAAGGTCTCCCTAAAGAGATGATACTTACGCTGAGCTCTGAAGGGTGGACCAGAGTTAGGCAGGAAAAAAATGGAGAAAGTGTTTAAGGCACAAAACACCATTGCAATCCCTAAGCCAAGAAGACACTCCTGGTGGAGGCATTAGGAAAGACCACTGACTGGTAGGCAGGGCATAGAACACGGAGGCCAGATCATGAAGCGCTTTGCGAGTTCTGTGGAGTGTGGAAGCTGTGGTTTCTATGAGCAGCGACCCTAGTATTTGAGTAGCTAGCTGTTCATTTCCTCGTATTCTAGCAAGGACTTTCCAGTGAGATTGTGAAGGCTTCTCTGACTTTTTTCCCCCCAAGATTTCTGATTCTGTTACCATTGTTTCTGAAATTTTTAAGATTTTTTTTTCTTCTTTATTATGGTCAAAGAACATAGACTCTACCATCTTCGCTGTTTCTGTGTGTGGTGCACAGTAGTAAGAACGAAAGCATGTTGTTACACTGAAGCCCTCTGCCACTTGTTTCCACTTCTCTTGGGGGAGAAAGCAAAGTACAGGCAGGAAGGAGCCGCGCTGCAGCCCCCGTGCGCCCACGCGGCGTTAGCAGTGTTGGCAGTAATTGTGACTAATTCCTGAGCTAGTGAGAGTCCACTGTATGTGTTCAAATAAACGATATCTTTAAAGATAGATGATCCAGATGATATGGCTAGAGCCTATGTTACAGACGATAAAAATAAGAACTACCTAAATTTGGGCAATTTGTATCTGACAGACATGAATTCCAACAGGAGGCGGAGAATCCATTAGAACTCTGAGCATCTGCCAGGTGCCTGACACATACCGGTTGTAGAGGACACAGGCAAATGGATGTAATCCCTGGGTGTGTGTAAGGCGGGGGTTGCCGGGGGGGGGCGGTCACACACAAGTTGTCTTAGCAAGATCTCGGGGATTTGGTCAGAAACTGCAAACAGACTTCTGTGGCCAGTGCAGCCAAGTTGGGGTAAATGGATGATCACCCTAACACTGGACAGAGAAGCAGGCTCTCACCCTGAACCCAGTGTAGCTAAGTAGCTGTTCTGCATGACACCATCTCTGACTTGTGGAGAAGCCTGAGTCTTAGTGAGAGGAGCTGGGGAGAATTAGTGTGCTATTTTAAAGAGCGCTCCAACATGACTTGGCCCCTGAGGCTGCCAGGAGTCTTCACACTGGTGATGGGAAAGCTTGCAGCAACTCAGCACGCTAGTGTGCTGCTGCTCCTTGCTGAGACTCAAACCAAAGCTAACATTTATTTGTACTTCAGCTGTACCCTGAAACCAACTGGTACAGTAAACGCTGTGGAACTCAAAACAATCTGTTCTGAACTGCAGTGGGCCAGATGGAGAGCAGAGGATAAGGGAAGAGTTCATTGTTGACGTCATGGAAGGCAGCACATTTCAGGACACCAGCAACCACGGCTGAACACAGGACAAATGGCTATCAAAAAAAAATCTTTTACTCCAGGTTTAGACTAGCCAGATATTTTAATTGAATTTCTCTGGCCAAGGCCAAAACTCTTGTTTCCCTCTAATGTTTGGTGGCATGTACGCATGGATGATTTTGCCCTTGATTCTAATAGGCCTAGTAAAAAGAGGCTTGGTTTTGATTTAAAAGTCATGGGTAGTGACGTCTTTTTTCTGAACCTCCATAAAATCATGTTAATAATACTTCACTCATTAATGAAACATTAAGATATTTGAGAAAAGGTTAAATGTTTTTACAATATAGTTTTTTGTCTGACTTAAGGATAGCTCATCTTACTACATCTTTTTGCTATCAGGTAACAAATATCTGCTAAAAATAGCAAATTCCCTACATTTACATGCAGCTTGGCATGTAGGAAGAAGTAGATGGGAAAAGTATTCTATTTATGTAATCATGGTTTCCAGAAAATCATTTTTTTAAATGCATATGTGTATAGATGCTTATATGCCTATATGGCTATAGCTACATGTATGGACATGGAAACAAAATGAATTTTGTCTGTAGAGTCCATTCCATGAAACAAGTCAGAGCGATTCAGAGGCAAGAGCAAATTTCAAAAATAAGAGAGAAACGTAATCTGTTAACCCTGTCTTCATGACCCTTTTTAAAGTACTTATTAAAGTTCAAAAGACAGCATTTCTTTAAAAAATAAGTGTGATCAAGACAGTAACACAAACGTATATTCAAGAAGACGTAGATAAAACAAACCATAAAATCCTGCATATTGGGAACTGGAAAACCATAAAATGTTCATGCTGAATATGAGTAAAGTATTTTTTAAATGACACAGAGGCAATAAAATAGGAAATCATAAAATCAGTATGAGAACCGGCCAAGGAAGCCACCCAGATGCAGTTTTCTAATTGGAGATCTGGCAGTAGACTTAAGTTCATATTCAAGTAGGAACTAGAGTCAAACAACAGATTCCAAGACCTTTTTCACTTACTTAAGGAAGCTTGTTTTCTGAGGATAGCTTCATTTATGGAATCTCTGTGTCTAGTGCAGAGAACCTGAGTTCCTCCTTAGTAACAATCTAAATTGGTGCTCAGTGCAGAACAGCTTCCCAAAAGAGCCACAAAACTACTAATTGGCCCACTGAGTTCAGAATAAAAACAGAATCCTGAACAGAAACTGAAGTTCTTGAGAGGACAGAGGTTGATCTAAAGGTCCGAGTATATCTGACCCATGTATTCAGTATCGAACAATTTAAATATAAATTTTTAATAAAGAAGATGGAGGAGAGAAAGTAGTTTGCATTCTCAGAAATGATTTCACAAGCAGTGAGTGAAAATGAGCAATGTTGGAAATAGAGATAACCCAGAAATAGTTTCTACAATGTATGAGAATTAACATATAATGATGCTTTACAAATTAGTTAATAAATGGTGTTAAAGCAATTAGTAGGAAAACTGAGTACCAGCAGAAAAATTGGAGTTATTACTTCATACAGCAAATAATTTTTGGATGGGTTTGTAATTAAACATCAAGGGGGAAAAATAAACATTTTAAAGTGGAAACTACAAGAGAATAAAGCTGAATTATTACCTAAACCACGACAGAAACTTATTTCTCTAATTTCAAAGAAATAAAAAAGAAGTTCCAAGAAAAGGTAAGCATATTAAAAACACGTTCTGAAAAAGAAGATACCAGAAAAACAGTTGATGGTAAACAAGACAGACAGTGATTTTTAAAGTTATATAAAGAGCGCATACACTTACAAGAATAAGTAGCAACAGAAATGGGCAACTGATAGGAATCAGTGATGCATGAAAGAGCAACCACGAGTCATGACCCCTTCACAGGCCCAAATACCCGACCTGACCTTAAAACTCACTTTTTCAGTCTTTGTCACCTCAAGCCTTTCTCTTAACACCCTATTGGAAATCACAAAGCTCGCCCACTAGTGTACTATACCTAACATGTTTTATCTTCCTCCATGGCACTTTTCTGTCTACCTGGCAGATTTTATTACTCTTTGTCTCTTCTTCCTGCTAGAATCCAGCTCTGTGCGGTCAAGAATTTTACTTACTGCTATATCCCCAGTGCCTAGTATAGCATCTGGTTTGTAGTCAGCACTTTTTTTTTTTTTAAAGATTTATTTATTCATACAGAACTGGGGTGCAGGCCAGAGATGCGAAGGGTGAGAGGATTCACCAGAGACAGAGT